AAAACGTTATACTTGATTTTAGGTGGCATATTCACTGGACCTAGACAAAATGATAACCAATGACATTAGAGCCTCGGTCTGATTTGAAAATACTAATGCAAGACTTGGACTGCTTTATTTTAAAAGCGGAAAGAATATGACATTAGAATTCACTCATTACTGAATGGATGCTGGGGTTTGCTCTCATCTCAGTGTCTGGAATCCTGGATCACAATGAATAAAGTGTCAGATTTACTCATTATCTCATTTAGCGAGTCCAGGTCACTCATTTCCCTTTAAGAAATTGTGCCACCAATTTGGCAAACATGGGTTGCAATTTATGGATACCTTTCAGGCTGTAGTGCTTTTAGGGGGGATTTCGTGAAACCGTAAGAAAGGCGAAATTACCTTCGTTTCTACACGAGTTAGGCCGTACTTCTGATGGATTGCAAATGACTTCAAGTGTCAACAAACGAAATGCAGATGAATGGAATACCAAAAAACCCATTTCTCACCTGGTTATGGACCATTTAAGAAGAGGAATGTGCCAGAAGTTAACCCAATTATCAACTGAGCTTTCCGTAAGATGACTTCTACTTCGACATCAAATAAGATCTAACGCAAAAATGCATAACTAAGTTAACATTAATGGAGCTGACTTAAAGTTATCTTCAATGCCCAAATTGCTTTTTCGGTTAATAAGATCAGGGAAAAGAGGACACCGGAAGCCCATGCACCGACGTTAAACTATCATTGTGTTATTCTCCGGTGAGGCTATAAACAAGAAATCACTCACTGTAACTGATACAACTTCTAATATCTAAGGTCTCAGAAAAACGCATTTAGTCTATCCCATCTGTAATTCCTACGCCTTGAATTCCTAGGGAACTTGAAGGGGACATTTACTTAATTATAAAAGCATTCTGCATTCACAGTTGTCTATCTGGATTACGAGGGAGATTCTTTGCAAATACTATTTCTTCGCCAGCTAGAAGCCAGGAAAAAGCTCTTTTAAATCAATGTTAGAAATCCTCTTTAATCCAACATATTTTTACGCATATTCTTTCACAGCATTTAATTATGATTTCTGCCGATCACAGTAAGATTCATCCCACATCAGAATTCGCAGATACTTTGTTGATATTCAAAAAAACGACTGTGTTCAGCCAGGAAAATAATAAAACGTTTGACAATAAAATCAGACCCATCGTAATCTTATTTACTGGGCCAACTCAGCTACTGAAAATGGCATTCAAGTCAAAATCATTTTTATTTCGATAAGATGCCATTAACCAAAAGAAACATAAGCATGCCTCTTATAATACATGAAATAGTCAAATTCTTTAAGTCAAAAGTAAAATTATATTGGCTATAGTAAAGGCAAAGATAATACACGGAAAGAACCACACAAATAATAACAACTTTTGTATTTTGGTAGGGAAACAGATGCTAGTTTCACAAATTTCTGAGAACCTAAAATAAAATTGAGAGCTTAACCTTGGAGACGAGGATTCATTGTTAACACAATATTTCAGCCTCCAATTAAAAGGATGGTTTAAAGAGGAATCTTTACATTGATAATGTATCAAACAATATGGAAAGGGTGAGTTCTGACAGTGATGCCAAGTTACTTTGTTACGATTAAATAATGTAATATACGCTCAAGTCAAATGAGCAAAAATAAAATTTTGTGTTAATCTTGAACTTATCGCTTGTTGAGCACTCAATTTTTCTCGACGCTATCTGATTGTGGCTCAAATGGACCAACGCGATCGGTGCTTATAAAGTTTAATATTATCGGAAAAATACAATTAATGGCATTGATAAATTTAGGCCCATGGTCTCCATAATGTCTTCGTCATCGCATTACATAATTCAAGTCCTTATAAATCAATTGCAATGGCCAAAAGAAGTGTATACATTAACAGGCGCTCAACGTTTACCATGAAAGTTGCTGTCGTGTTGATGTATACCAGTGCGAGTTAGGGAGATAAATATAGTCACTCCAAACCCACAAAGAGAAAACTTTTTGCTTAAGTTCTCATGTTTATGATCAACAAGAAATGGACAGAGACATTTATGACAAACAACTAAACTTGTCATCAAGTTTATGTAAACAATGCCGCTAATAATCAATGAGAACGCAGTTGAAAACCTAGGACCATTAAATGCCTTCTTTTCTTCTATTCTTTGGTTCCTTCCTTTCATTAATTTCAAATTTTTTTACTTGAAAAGTGTTGCAATAAGAAGCTGACCTAAAACCCCATCTTAAAATTTTAGCAAAATGCATCCCAAGGGGAGCTGATTCATAAATGGTAAAACTGCATCAAATATTATTGTTTCATAGAAAGAATTTTACTTTCCAAGTTGTTTTAATGTTAAAATTTTACACTACAACTACAGTTTGTTCAAAATGCCTCTAGTGTTTATATACTACATTAATTCTACTGAGGAATTCTAATATTTGGAAACTTCTTTCGGAAAGAGTGGTGCAATTTCGTGTGTTTCTCTGTTTGCTCCACTTTGTTTACTGCAACCGTAATTTAATAAATCCATTCGCGAAAGAATTTTACCGATAAACATGAGCCAAATTCTAAAATCCAGTTTGATTTTGTGAAACCCGACATCCAATATTTAGTTACTTGATGGTAATGGCAGTTATAATTCTTATTTTTACTGAACGTACACTGCGCACTACTACATTTTGTGGACATCATAATCTATTTTTGTTTGCGCTTAAGTTCGTTTCCAAAGCTGACTCTGAAACAAAGTAATAAGATGGTAAGAAGTAGTAGTTTTATGACAAGAACTTTGAAAAGGACGTAAGTGCTGAGCATGGTTCATTTTAATGGATCGGATTTTAAAAGCAGTTGATTAAGAATGGAACACTTTAGTCTACAGAATAATATGTTTTGAGGTCAACACAACATTCTCATTGCGTTATCAACTACTCCTACTAGTGGATAGGTCAGTGTAAAAGTATATCATTCCAGATTAATGTTGGAGGTGGAAAGTTAAAGCACTTGTTTTTTAATTTACCTTTGCTAAATACTTTCAAAAACAACTTATTTTTGGAGTTGAATTCAGATATTAAAACCAGTCATACGACAATAATACTGGCTTTTTTTCTCGACCAAATCACAAATTACTTTCGATCATCTGACCAGCTGCAAAAATATTATTTTGCCATTTATTATTTTGAAAGAAACAGACTGTTATACCAATTTGTGGTCATGAAGTTTTCAAATGTCCTTCTTAAGCCTTTTTCTCACTACGGCATTTCTTGGGTCCTATTTTCTATTGCTTCTTCTAATACATTACTCTGAATATATTCATCGCAGTAGCAAATGGTGTAAGGCCTTAAGTGGGTTTTGTGAGACCGTGAAACCTTTTTTAAATAATATGTAATAGACGAATATCGAAGTGCAACTCTTCTTCACTTATTTTCATCATAAAATTATGCGACGATTTATCCCTCGATGTTACAATCCTCACGCCCCAATATTCTATAAAAACTAAGGCTATTTTTAAATCGCAAAAGCCTTTTATTTTCACAGACTTTAAAAAAATACACAAAGCCCTCCAAAGTATATCCACCACAGAAGAAAAACCTTTGCAGTTAGTGTTTGAGAACAATTTCAAATCTGAATTAAGCATCTTCAAATGATTTGGGGGTCGATTATTGGCCTCTCATTGACCATTTTCAGTTTTTTGTTAGGTTAGATA